CTACTTATATATCTATGTTACTTATTTATTAACTATATTAATATATTATTATTATTAATATTATTATAATTTATCTACTTTAAATAAGAAAATTATTTATTATAAACTAGTTTTTAGCTTTTATCAATTAATATTATAATTATTAATAATTATTTTAAAAGAAAAAGAAAAAAAAGAAAAAAAAAGAAAAAGAAAGAAAAGAAAAAAGAAGTTTAGTTATAAAAATATTAATATTATAATATAAGCCTTATAAAACTACTTTAGCTATTTAATAGCTTTAGGCTAAGTATTAAGAAGATAAGCTGTAAAGTCTAAGTTTTTAATATAAATATCTTTATTTAACTTAATATATAATTTTTAAAGATATTAAAATATTATATAAAGGTTATTAGAATTTATATAATAATCTTAATCAAATTTAGTAAAGTATATATTTTATATAGATAAGTTATAAGTTACTGGTACTTAGAAAACTTAGGAAATTAGTATAAGGCAAGATATAGCTTGCCTTAGCGATGTAAGATAAGCTAATATATACTCGGCAATTATATATACGTGTATATCTATCCGCGTAATTACATGTTATTATATATTCCGTCTTATTCTTAAATTAAGCCTTTCTTTATATTTTCAGCTCAACACTACTATCGATTTCTTTATATCTATGTAATCGCTATGTTGTATTGGGAATTAGAACTATGCTTATCAAGATATGCAGTGAGAATAACTTCGTAGCTGATTGTCAAATATGGTGGCCTTGTCCGTTGCCACTGTCTGTCGCCCACGTGTTTGCCTGTTATATCTGCCACAAGCTGCGTGTGACTAGGCATCTACTCTGCGAGCTGCCTGTTCGATTCGGCTGCCTGCCGAGCGAGCGGGTACGCGTCTACGATATTGCGCCACAGTGCCACGAGTGCAAATATCCGGAGAAAACGAGAAGGTAAAGGATTCGAGATATGGAATTGTAGTGGTCCGGTGCGTACACGCAGAGCCAAAGTCTCATTTGAAGAAATATTTTGCGCCCCGAAAACATGCGGGCGTCTTGTGCAGCTGAAGCAAAGCAGATGCCGAAAGGAGAAACGTAATGTACAGCAAGGGAAAAAGACTCCCAACTCCAAGTCACCATGCCAATATCCTCTAAAATGTATAACAGTGTCGCTCGTTGATCAAGCAGCTTGAAGTAAAAAGTAAATCGCAAGCCACGTCTAGAGGGGGGAAAGTCGGCCGTCTAATGGAAATAATGAAAATCTTGAACGAGGAAAACGTTTCGCCTGAATGCGCGCCCACGGAACTCCCGATAAATCAATCACCTTCATGATGCCAGGTCCGTGTCGTAAAGCCATGAATAAGAATAAAATCGCAGTCGCTTTATAATGCGCTACCATTCAGCTCCCCAACCGTGAAAGTCGTTTGTGGCGGGAAGGCTGCCTGTGCAGGGCTGTGACCAAGCCCTGTAACACCGTAATCATCGAAATGTTGCACAAAGCTGAGGATCGCTCGCGAATCGCGAATAACACGTCGCTCCGTTTTGAGAGCGTCGTTGGGCGGGGTCACGACCACAAACCTTCATAAGGTGTTGCTGTTCCCGCTCCCACGGCGACTATCGAATCCGCTTGATGAAGACGTGGCGTTGGGCCGTCGGCTGGAAGCCTTGCGGTTGAAGCCCAACTTCTCGCCCACCTTTTTCCAACCCTTGTTGTGGGCGGCGACAGCACGCTGCAGTCCGCCGGGGGATGCATTGAAAGCCCAGTCCGAGGTGGTAGGAGGAGTTGTAGGAGGGGTCATGGGCTCATTGGTAGAGGGAGAGTTACCCTCGCTATCATCGGTGAGGCCCTCAAACTCGAGGCTCTGGCTGGTTCGGCTTTTGGCAGTGGTGTGAGATCGGGGAGAGCGAACCTGCTCGTCGCAATACTCAACGTGAAGAGGGACGACAGATTCGAGAAAAGGCACCAGGAGCGAGTCGTTCATAAGCTCATGAATGATATGACAGGCCTCGTCTAGAACAGAAGGGTGGGGAGGTATGGGGTTGTAGTGCGTCATCAGCAGGCGATCGCGGACTCGCGAGGGGATATTGACCTCGCGAGGAGCGCAAGGGACAATGTATACCTGCATGAGCTTTTGCCAGAGAGCGGAGAGGCGGGTATTGGCATCGGCGGCAGATTTGGCCTCGGAAGCATGATTTTGGTAGATGCTGGCGTAACGCTGGGTATCGAGCGTGAACTCGAGCGTCTCCATGCAGTGGTTTTGAGAGAGGTACGCCATAAATGCAGTCAGGGTATAGGGCGGCGGCGAGTTGTCGGCAAGAATGTCGCGAAGCGTGGGAGGTTGATGGGCAGCCATAATGTACCTGGGAGATCCTGGCCGTGAGACGAATAGCTCGCTGTTAGAGCGTGAGTATGTGCCGATTTGGTAGAAGTCTTCAAAGGCGGAAGAGGGTCTCGGAGACAGTTCAGTAGGAATGGGAGTCAAGTCTACCACGAGGCTAACCATGTCTACTTTTGATCCCGGAGGGATTGTGATCCTTATTGGCGGCCAAGCAGATATTGCAATAGACCCAGGCTATTTTGGAGCCGATCGTTCTGGGGGGGGGGGGGGGGGAGGCAGCAGAGGCCGCGGCGAGAGCATGGAGGGGGCCGTGGTCGAATCGTTTTGTAGACTGCGGAGGCAAGCGGAGAGAATATTACGCTAGGTTTGCGAGCACGCGAGGCGTGAGAAACGAGGGCGTACGCATGCACAGAGAGCGATGCGTGCGACCAAATGGTCTGGACCAGAATCCCGGTAACGGTTGTTGGGGAGGAGAGGCGAGAGACGGAGAAGAAGTCGCCTGCCGACGTCGGACAGTAAGAACGGTTATGTACGACGAAGAACGTGCAGCAAAAACAAAAAAAGAAATGGTACAGTGATGAGGCTGCTTCGTGATTTGGTAATGAAAAAGAGAATAGCGTCGCGGCAATGTAGGGTCGATAACAGTGCGTGAGTGTGAGAGTGCGTGCCAGCAGAGACGAGATTGGAAGCGACGCTGGGAAGCGGGGAGACGACGGTATTAGAACGGTGGCGGTCGTGGAATACCTAGGTAGTGTTCTATTTTGGTGGCTTGCAGGGGGTGCTGATGCTGCTCTGGCGCTAGGCAGGCGGTCGTCTGCCACTTGGAAAGTCAAAAAACGGGAAGCAGTTGGCGAAGGTTGTGAGAGCGACCAAGTTTTGGAATAGGGGCTATTAACTTACAAGCATGAATTGTGCTGAAGTATTACCAGTAACCAAAAATGTAAGGGACGGGAAGGGAAGGGAAGGGGGCGTCTGATGAGGCAATCGAGCATACAGTCATCAAGGTTTAGAACATTGGGCGAAAAGTCGAGTACTGATAGAAGCAGCAGCGAAGATGGCGTAGAAGGAAGAGGAGAAAGGACCGGGGGGAAGAGGGAGTAAGGGTGGGATCGGAGCTTTTTTTTCTCCTTGCCTCTTGCGTGGGCTGTGGGCTGTTGACTATCAAGAGAGGCCAGTCCGGGGAGAGCGAGAGGCAGAGGAGCAGTTTTAGGGCACCTTAGCCCATAGGTAGCGCCCCTCCTCACCCCTGCCTGCCCCCCTTTGGCCCTCGACATTTGGTTGCTGGGCTAAATCGTTGACTGATCTGCTGGTCTACAAACTGGGTCTTGCTTGGACTCGTGGACTCTTGGACTCTTGGAAGAACAAAGCCTGCGGATGGCGCTAACTTGAGTAATAGCGGGCCAAGCTTGCTACCTATGTAGGTATTAATTGCCAGCCAGCTTGACAGTCTCTTTTGTGAAAAGAGAAGAGCAACGGGCGACTTGTGTCCAGTAGCTATTTACGAGTACCATGGCGACTAAAGAATGCACACAAAATTTCAGTCACCTCTTTCTGAATTTTTTCCTTTCGCGACCATCCTGGTCCCTCGTCCACTCGGTCTACCGCCGGCCAGACAGGCCAAGGTCAGCCCGCTCTTGAATCACGGCTACTGGTTGTTCGGTACCACCGCCGGCCAGCCGACAGCGTATATCTTATTATTCACGTATATGCTTGCGCACCTTTCTAGAAGGCCTGTCAGTGGGTTGCCCGACATTATGGCACCAGTGCACCCTTCGGCGTCTTCTCTTGTGCCACTCGACATTTCGCACGCAAAACCAGAAGCGCAGCACCAAGCAGGATCGTATTCTCGACGTGCTCAGTGTTGTTACATGCTTGGACCATGCCACCCACACACATCTCCATTGGCTGCAGAATATTGCCGTGATATTTCACCATCTCGACATGCAGCCATGCAACCATGATGGGACCATGGGGTGATGCACGCATCGAATGGCGAGAGGCCTGTGGCGCCTCAGTGCCGGCAGTCGTACGGTACTGCAGGTGCTGGACCTACTCGAAAAGACGCTGCCGTGCCAGCGCCTCTTTACGAAAAGAGTCAGACTTGGCGCCCATCTACGGAGTACACTGTGCTGGGTACCGCAGCCCTGTCCGCCGAGAGCTTTCTAACAGGTGGCGCCGATCCCCATACCGGTAAATCACGGATAGGCAGCGCTTGCTCGTATCAATTAATACCTATCACCTATCAACCTAGAGCCTAACTATCTATCCGTTGGCAGGTACGACTTCTGAGTTTAGCCAAAATGCTTACAAGGCCCTTTCTCAAGCCGTAGACCAAGTGAGGGCACCCGCATGCGTACCGCGCCTGGCTTATCGTTGCTCATCAGATGACATTGTCGGCAGGCTCCAATATTAAATGCCCGCCCCCCACGTCGTTGAATTTTTCTTGTCTCAAAAGGTGTGTTTATCGCGAACGCCCAGTTCCAGTCCTCTAAAAGTCACCAGTGGGTCGATTGAACAGCATGAGCGTCGCATTAGGATTTAGACCCATATTTCTGACGCAAATGTGGGTGGCACTGGCTGACGATTGGCCCATCCTATTACCAACTCAGGTGGCAGGGTATTAAGGTTTTTACGCAAACAAGCAAGCGCTCAGTAAATAACGTGTACCGCCGGAAAAGGGGGCGAGGAAGAGCCAAATACTTACCACGACTGCTTCATCTCGGATGTCGCGCGCGGGCCGTCAAGTTGCGGTGCTGTGGGCATTTCAATTGAACAGGACGCGTCAGTACAGGTAACAGCTTGGTGTTGTCGTATGACTGTCGCCAGGTGAGACCCGCAAACGCCTATTAGATACAAATTGACCCCCAGGTCCCATCAAGCCCTTACAAATGCAACAAACAAGTGTGTCCGTACGTACATAGTGATAGTTACTCGGCCACGACGAGATTAATCAAACTAAACAGTCCCTTTTTGGCGGGTCTCGGGTTGGCTCTCAGAGTGGAGCGCCGGTGAATGGAGCGACAGCCTGACGCTAGAAGGGCGCTAGAAGTTCTGCATTTTGCACAGTGTGCAATAATCGAGAATTCAACAATATTTAATGGCGCGGTTCGATCATGGAATGCAGCATTGACTGAGTAGGTAGTTACCCAGGTGTGCGTGCCAAATACAAGAACGGAGCAGAGTTTCTGCCTATTCGTACCTGCCTATGGAGACGATCAGTGCCTACCTACCTACGCGGGAGGGGGGTATGCCCTCTAACAGATTTTCGTAGATAAAATATTATTAAGGCATATTACTGTAGATATAGGCTTCTTAGATAGGATATTAGAAATTTTTTTAATATGCTAAAAAGTGCGATTTCCTTATAGTATACCTAAAAAATATGTTAGATAGTAAAATATATCAGAGCATAGGTATAGTATATCTAAGTAATTCCGCTTATAACCTAAAACCTCACTAAAATACCTACTTTTAGACTACTAATACTATAAGAGCTAGTACTTAAATTTATTTTTTAATAATTATAATAATAATAAAAGTATATATAGGTATTTTTAAAAATTTCTTTTAAGATTTTAATAAATTATTATATTTAAATAAAAACTTAAGAAATAATTTTACTAGTAAAATCTACTTTTTTTTTTAGCTTTTTTAACTTTATTAAGTAATAACTAGTTTATTAAAATAGAGTAGTACTATATAGACCACCTATTTTTACTATATAGATAAGCCTTATATAATATTATAAGTAGGGTTATTAAAGGTACCTAGCTTCTAGTATAATTTATATATAAATAGAAGTATCTTTTAAAAATCTAATATATTTAATTATTTTATATATCCTTACTATTATAACTACTATAACCCCTTTATACCCTCCTTACTACTATTACTTAAGGCTCTTAATACTAGCTAATTTACTTAAAAAACGTATTTTACTATTTTTAATAAATATATATATATTAGACCTAGATTAATAATTCTTCTACATTAATTCCTACTACTAATACTACTACTAGTATTACTAGTATTACTAGTATTACTACTAGAAGCTCTTAATACTGGCTAATTTACTTAAAAAAATATTTTTATTACTTTTAAGAAATATATATATAACTAGTTAAAAAAAGGGTTCTTCTATAGCTATAATAGCCTTTAACTAACTATAGCAATTGCTAATAGGCATATAGAAGTAAGGGTGTAGGTAGAAGATATAGAAGAAAAAGAATATATTATTAACCTTATTATTCTTTTCTAATTAAGAGGAACTCTAGTTTATTTATAGAGAAAAAGAAGTTAAGTATAATAACTTAGAAAAAACTCTAGAATATTCTAGACTATCCTAAAGGTCTACTTTTAGTAGATCTAATTAGTTAGTTATTATATAATTACTAATATAGCCTCTTTTATAAGTTTCTACCTTCTTCTATTAGCTCTAGTAGTTTTATAAGGTAGATTTAGCTAATATTAACGTCCTAGTAGCTATAAGAGGCCTTTTATAAGGTAATCTACTTTTAATACCCTCTCTAGTTAGCTAAAGGGCTAATCCTTTAAGTCTTCTTAAAGAAATTAAGTATTATATAGTATAGTATATATCCTTTAGTAATATTATAGGCTTATATAGTACTATTAGAGTAGCTAATAATAATAACTTTATATAATTAAAGGAAATTTAAGGTATAAGGTAGCTACCTTAAATTTAAGGTATAGGGTAGCTACCCTATACCTACTATTAATTAACTACTTATTATAGCGTAATTAGTAGCGCTAATTAGCAGGCTATAGTGCTATACTTAGTGAGTTATAGTGTATTATAGCTGCTATATATGTTAAAAGGCATGCTAGAAAGATTAGGGTATAGGGTAGTTACCCTACACCTG